ACCAGGACCCCCACTCGCTGCCCACCAGGACCCCCAGTGCTGCCCATCACCATCCCCACTCTTTGCCCACCAGCAGCCCTGAAGAGAAGGGCCACGGCAGTGGCTCCTGCGGGATGGAGAGGCAAAGCCGGGGGGGGAAAAGGCAGAAATCTTCCCTCCCACCCTCTCCTGGGGATAAACGCCCACCCAAAGCGGGCGGTTTGGTGACCCCCATCCCAGGACATGGAGAAGCATCCCCAGCTTGGGCGAGGATGCCCACCACAGAGTGACCGACGGGGCTGGGAACGGCCCCCCCGGGGCAAACCCATGGTTATTCCAACCCCACCGCAACGAGCCGGGTTTCCCACCCCGCTTCCTTTTCCTGGGAGGGGGGCACCTCTTGCTATCGCATGGAGAGGTTTTTGGGAGCGCGTCTCTCCGCGGGCGGCGCGCAGGGAAAGGCTTTGCATGGCATTAAGGGCTTTATATTTACGCTTCATATTGGAGTGCAAACATTTGGCTGCGGATTTGCCTCGCACCTGCAAGGCTGCAGCGATAACACCCCCCGGCCCCCGCCACCACGCAGGGGCACCGCCACCCCCCCTCAGGTCCCCCATTGGGTCATTCACTTAAATGCACCTTTATCACCAAATATCTCCCAGAAACGCTCCGTCGGGAAGATGCCAACCCCCATTAAACCCGGCATTTGCCACCTTCGGCACGGGGGGCTGCTGGAAAGGGGGTGCTGGGGGGGGCACAAGCCATCCCGTTGGGATGCTCTCCCATGGGGCAAACTCCCAATGGAACCCATCGTCTGTGGGCACGGGGACAAGGTGCCTTGGGAGGCTGCGGTGCTGAAAACAAGCCCCCGCGCCATCGCTGCGGCACGACCTGGCCCCACGGCGGGCGGGGGGAGGCGAGGGGGGGCAGAGGTGCAAAGGTCTCCTGCTTTAATAAATAACAGCGCTGGAATTCGCCGCAAAGGCTGTTTGCGAGCGCCGGGCAGAGCTCTCCCCACCTCCCCATCCCCCCCCAGCCCGCGCCGGATTTAAAAAAAAATGAAACATTGCGAAAAAAAATGAAAAAAATGAAAAAAAAAAAAGGCTCCTGAGTGCTGCGCGATGAGAGGCTGGCGCGGCCCGCACTGTACATACTGTACCCACAACGCTGGCCGCCCGCCAGCGCCGGCCACCAGCCAAAGCCACCGTCACAAACACCAGCCGCGCGTGCCAGCGCCGGGGGGGACACACCAGCATCCCGGGGAGCAGCACCGGGCAGGGGGGGAGCAGCATCCCGCACCCCACTCACCCCAGTGCTGGGGGGACCAGCATCCCACACACCACTCACCCCAGTGCTGGGGGGACCAGCACTGGAAAGGGGGGGACCAGCATCCTGGGGAGCAACACCAAACACAGGGTGGGGGGGGAACAGCACCCTGCACCCCAGCATCTAGAGGGGACCTACATCCCACACCCCAGCACCAGATGGGGGGCGGGGAACCAGAATCCCACACCCCAGTCACCCCAGTGCTGGGGAGACCAGCACCCTGCACCCCAGTGCTGGGTGGGGGGACCAGGATCCTGTACCCCAATTACTCCAGTGCTGGGGGGAGCACCATCAGACAGAGGGGGACCAGCACCCTGCACCCCAGCATCTAGAGGGGACCTACATCCCACACCCCAGCACCAGACGGGGGGGGAACCAGCATCCCACATCCCAGTCACCCCAGTGCTGGGGGGGGGGCACCAGCACCCCATGGACCAGCGCCAGACTGGGGGGAACACCATCCTGCACCCCAGTCACCCCAGTATGGAGAAGCATCCCCAGCTTGGGCGAGGATGCCCACCACAGAGTGACCGACGGGGCTGGGAACGGCCCCCCCGGGGCAAACCCATGGTTATTCCAACCCCACCGCAACGAGCCGGGTTTCCCACCCCGCTTCCTTTTCCTGGGAGGGGGGCACCTCTTGCTATCGCATGGAGAGGTTTTTGGGAGCGCGTCTCTCCGCGGGCGGCGCGCAGGGAAAGGCTTTGCATGGCATTAAGGGCTTTATATTTACGCTTCATATTGGAGTGCAAACATTTGGCTGCGGATTTGCCTCGCACCTGCAAGGCTGCAGCGATAACACCCCCCGGCCCCCGCCACCACGCAGGGGCACCGCCACCCCCCCTCAGGTCCCCCATTGGGTCATTCACTTAAATGCACCTTTATCACCAAATATCTCCCAGAAACGCTCCGTCGGGAAGATGCCAACCCCCATTAAACCCGGCATTTGCCACCTTCGGCACGGGGGGCTGCTGGAAAGGGGGTGCTGGGGGGGGCACAAGCCATCCCGTTGGGATGCTCTCCCATGGGGCAAACTCCCAATGGAACCCATCGTCTGTGGGCACGGGGACAAGGTGCCTTGGGAGGCTGCGGTGCTGAAAACAAGCCCCCGCGCCATCGCTGCGGCACGACCTGGCCCCACGGCGGGCGGGGGGAGGCGAGGGGGGGCAGAGGTGCAAAGGTCTCCTGCTTTAATAAATAACAGCGCTGGAATTCGCCGCAAAGGCTGTTTGCGAGCGCCGGGCAGAGCTCTCCCCACCTCCCCATCCCCCCCCAGCCCCTGGGATCTGCAGGGTTTGTTCCCATCCAGCACTAATCCAAACCATTGCGAAAAAAAATGAAAAAAATGAAAAAAAAAAAAGGCTCCTGAGTGCTGCGCGATGAGAGGCTGGCGCGGCCCGCACTGTACATACTGTACCCACAACGCTGGCCGCCCGCCAGCGCCGGCCACCAGCCAAAGCCACCGTCACAAACACCAGCCGCGCGTGCCAGCGCCGGGGGGGACACACCAGCATCCCGGGGAGCAGCACCGGGCAGGGGGGGAGCAGCATCCCGCACCCCACTCACCCCAGTGCTGGGGGGACCAGCATCCCACACACCACTCACCCCAGTGCTGGGGGGACCAGCACTGGAAAGGGGGGGACCAGCATCCTGGGGAGCAACACCAAACACAGGGGGGGGGGGGAACAGCACCCTGCACCCCAGCATCTAGAGGGGACCTACATCCCACACCCCAGCACCAGATGGGGGGCGGGGAACCAGAATCCCACACCCCAGTCACCCCAGTGCTGGGGAGACCAGCACCCTGCACCCCAGTGCTGGGTGGGGGGACCAGGATCCTGTACCCCAATTACTCCAGTGCTGGGGGGAGCACCATCAGACAGAGGGGGACCAGCACCCTGCACCCCAGCATCTAGAGGGGACCTACATCCCACACCCCAGCACCAGACGGGGGGGGAACCAGCATCCCACATCCCAGTCACCCCAGTGCTGGGGGGGGGGCACCAGCACCCCATGGACCAGCGCCAGACTGGGGGGAACACCATCCTGCACCCCAGTCACCCCAGTAGAGGGGGACCAGCACCCTGCACCCCAGCATCTAGAGGGGACCTACATCCCACACCCCAGCACCAGACGGGGGGGGAACCAGCATCCCACATCCCAGTCACCCCAGTGCTGGGGGGAGCAGCACTGGAAAGGGGGGGGACCAGCATCCTGGGGAGCAGCACCAGACACAGGGTAGGGGGGGAGCAGCACCCTGCACCCCAGTGCTGGGGGTGGGACACCAGGATCCCATACTCCAGTTACCCCCATGCTGGGGGGAGCACCACCAGAGAGATGGGGACCAGCACCCTGCACCCCAGCATCTAAGGGGACCTACATCCCACACCCCAGCACCAGACGGGGGGGGAACCAGCATCCCACACCCCAGTCACCCCAGTGCTGGGGGGGGGGCACCAGCACCCCATGGACCAGCGCCAGACTGGGGGGAACACCATCCTGCACCCCAGTCACCCCAGTGCTGGGGAGGGACCAGCATCCCACACCCCAGAACTAGATGGGGGGCACCAACACTCTACACCCCAGCAGCTGGGGGGGACCTACATCCCACACTCCAGTGCTGGGGGGACCAGCATCTTGGGGACCAGCATCCTGCACCCCAGTGTTGGGGGACACACCAGCACCCCAGGGACCAGCCCCAGCAGCCTGGGGGCACCCCGGGCAGCTGGTGCCCATCCCGAGGAGTGGTGAGGGGGGGGGGAAATGGGGTCGGGGCCAGCTCTGATGCCCCAAAAAGCAGCACCCCCCTCCTGGCCAGAAGGAGCGAGGGGAGGGCAGCTCCACGCTGGTCCCTTGGGAATGGGCAAGGTATCTCCCTCCTTGTGCCCCTCGGCGCAGACAAGGGGTGGGGGGGGAAAGGAAATATGAATATGGGGGGGGAAATAGATAAAAAATATAAAAAAAAAACCAAAATACAATACATTTTCCATGCAAAGCCACCTGCAAGCACAGTTTTGGCTGCGGTACCTGCCACCCCACCTGATTTGTCCTCAAAGGAGTGGGACAAGGAGTCCCACCCCCATCCCAGCAAAGGCCCCCGGTGCCCACCTGCATCTTTTTTTACATTAAACCCCCCAACAGTTCACGGGGCTGCCCCCCTACCCCACAGGAACAGCAGCTGACATTGGCTTGCAGCGCACACGCCGTCCCACCCGCGCGGTGTTCCAGCCCTTCCCTATCTATTTAATTAAAGGGCCTACATCATGTGAACCTGCTCGTTAGATTCATTAGTGGGAGAACGCCTCATTCCGCAGCAGTTTTGCCAATGGAGCTGCGGCGGGTGCAGGGTCACGGTGCCGGGACGCGCGCGGGGGCCGGAGCCGCGCGACGCTCACGCTGCGAGCGGGGCCAGACCATCAGCGGCCACCCCGAACGCAGGGCCTGTTGGCCCAGGAAAATATTTCCCTAATTAAAGGAATTGAAAACAAACTCCAAAAAAAGAAAATTCAAACAAATCAAATTATGAGCAACCGGAGAACATGTTTGCAACGCGCTGTCCTGGGAAGGGCACAGCCTGCTCCGCTCCAGCTCCTCTGGAAGAAGATGCAGCGCCTTGGGGTGGGCGTGGAGAGCATCCCCTCCATCCCAACCTGCAGCGTCCCCCCGTCCCGACCCCCAGCGTCCTCCCAACCCACCTGAGTGAGCCAGTAAGTGCATTCGCAGCCGCAAGCTGTCCAGGAACCGCTTCCCGCAGAGCTCGCATCCGTACGTCTTCATCCCGCTGTGCAGCTTCCTGGGGGGAAACACAGGGAGGGGGGGTTAGTCCTGCTGCGTGCGGGGGCAACGTTATCCCAAATATCACCTGGAAAATTCCCCATATTTCACCCAACGGACGCATCGCCCCAAATTGGTTGTGGCTCGAGAGGCCCTGGAGGAAAGACACAGATGGGAGGCCCCCTGTGACCCCCCAGGACCGACAAGATGACCATCTCCAGATCAATGTGTGTTATCATAACTACAGTTGGAGTCTTTTAATAAACCAAATAAATCTGAATTCTAGAGTTAATGCAAAGTACGTGCTGGAAAGCCTCCTCCCTAAGCACCGAGCGCTTTTGAAAAAGGTACTGTACTCCAAAAAAAAAACCAACAAAAAAAACCCCAGAAAAATTACGAGGTTGTTTGCCTGCATTTCTAACTGAATCCCAACTTCCATCCAAATCCAGCCACAAGCGAAGGAGTCAAACTTCCAGCTGCAAACAGGAAACGTGCCACTCACCCTTTCCTGGCACCGCGAGGCACCAGCTCAGCCTCACCCCCGGCATCGCACAACCTCCCGCTGCGTCCCTGTCTCTGTCCCCAGCCCTGCATCCCACATCCCGGGTCCCTGGTCCCACATCCTGCCGAGGGGCTGAGCATCCCCCAGTCCTGCATCCCCATCCTGCATCCTGCCACGGGTCCGAGCATCCCCGGGAGCAGGGCTGGGCCCCATCACGGGTACCAGGCCAGCATCTCTCCCCTTGGCCCCCCCGGCCAGACCCACATTCTCTCCCTCTCTGTGCCGTGGGGACAGTGTGTTCCTGCTGTGGGGAGCAAAGAGCCCACAGCAGGTTGGACCCCCTTTAGCAGATGGCATTTGCACAGAATATCATCCAAACCTACGGCAACTGGCCACCCCCCTTCTTTGCCCCACGAGCCACCACCGCCAGCCCAGGGCAACCCCTCTCAGACCCACTCCCCCCACGGCAGAGGAGCATCCCGGGGCTGGCTCCCCAAAACTGTGCCTGGGGGGAATCACGCAGCCCCCAAAACGCCTGCCTGGGGCGCTCGTCACTGCGTTTCTCCACGTGCTGGTGATAAATGGATGCTTTTGCAACACACCCTGGCTCCCTGGGCGAGAACGGCACCGATAAACCCCCCCTGAGCCACAAACCCCCCCAGCCACACCTCGGCTCCCGCCGGCCCCTCGTGGCGGGGACAGGGGCACGTGCGGAGTTTCGACATCGGATGCTGTAAACAGAGAAGTATTTGTGTGTGTGCGAGGAGCGAGGCAGCGAATCGCTGCGTGCCGACCTCTGCTCGCATCCACCATCTATCATCACTCCCCAACAAGAGCGGCGTATTTTTATTGCCTTGTTGCCAAAAGACAAAACAGAAACGGTCTTGTCCGGGGCTGGACGCCGAACCCTCCTCCCTCGGCCGCTCCCCGGGGAGGGCTCGGCCCCGGCCGGGCTGGGACGGCTGGCGTCCTGCGCACAGCCCGGGATGGGGGGAGCGTTATTCCTCCCCGGTTTTACTGGCGTGAAGCTGCTGCAGCAGCGAGCCCTACCAGGAGCATCCCTTCCAGCCACACAGAGCTGCAGACCCCAGCACAGGGTCCACCTCCCTCACAACTGTCAAAAGCAGCCAGCCCTGCATCCCATCCCACATCCCAACATGCATCCTATCCTGCATCCCACACTGCATTCCGCATCCTAGCCCATAGCCTACCCTGCGTCCCATCCCACATCCCAATGTGCATCCTATCCTGCATCCCATCCCAACCCGCATCCCAACCTGCATCCTGCACCCCAACCCATATCCCAATGCGCTTCCCGCCCTGCATCCCCTTCTCTATCCCACTTCCTGCATCCCAACCCGCATCCCATCCTTCATCCCACCCTGCATCCCACCCTGCATCCCGCTTCCTGCATCCCAGCCTGCATCCTGCATCCCAACCCATATCCCAAATGCGCTTCCCGCCCTGCATCCCCTTCTGTATCCCAATTCCTGCATCCCAACCTGCATCCCATCCTTCATTCCATCCTGCATCCCACCCTGCATCCCGCTTCCTGCATCCCACCCTGCATCTCCTTCTGTATCCCTCTTCCTGCTTCCCAACCTGCATCCTATATCCCAACCCACATCCCAATGCGTATCCCGCCCTGCATCTCCTTCTGTATCCCTCTTCCTGCTTCCCAACCTGCATCCTATATCCCAACCCACATCCCAATGCGTATCCCGCCCTGCATCTCCTTCTGTATCCCTCTTCCTGCTTCCCAACCTGCATCCTATATCCCAACCCACATCCCAATGCGTATCCCGCCCTGCATCTCCTTCTGTATCCCTCTTCCTGCTTCCCAACCTGCATCCTATATCCCAACCCACATCCCAATGCGTATCCCGCCCTGCATCTCCTTCTGTATCCCTCTTCCTGCTTCCCAACCTGCATCCTATATCCCAACCCACATCCCAATGCGTATCCCGCCCTGCATCTCCTTCTGTATCCCTCTTCCTGCTTCCCAACCTGCATCCTATATCCCAACCCACATCCCAATGCGTATCCCGCCCTGCATCTCCTTCTGTATCCCTCTTCCTGCTTCCCAACCTGCATCCTATATCCCAACCCACATCCCAATGCGTATCCCGCCCTGCATCTCCTTCTGTATCCCTCTTCCTGCTTCCCAACCTGCATCCTATATCCCAACCCACATCCCAATGCGTATCCCGCCCTGCATCTCCTTCTGTATCCCTCTTCCTGCTTCCCAACCTGCATCCTATATCCCAACCCACATCCCAATGCGTATCCCGCCCTGCATCTCCTTCTGTATCCCTCTTCCTGCTTCCCAACCTGCATCCTATATCCCAACCCACATCCCAATGCGTATCCCGCCCTGCATCTCCTTCTGTATCCCTCTTCCTGCTTCCCAACCTGCATCCTATATCCCAACCCACATCCCAATGCGTATCCCGCCCTGCATCTCCTTCTGTATCCCTCTTCCTGCTTCCCAACCTGCATCCTATATCCCAACCCACATCCCAATGCGTATCCCGCCCTGCATCTCCTTCTGTATCCCTCTTCCTGCTTCCCAACCTGCATCCTATATCCCAACCCACATCCCAATGCGTATCCCGCCCTGCATCTCCTTCTGTATCCCTCTTCCTGCTTCCCAACCTGCATCCTATATCCCAACCCACATCCCAATGCGTATCCCGCCCTGCATCTCCTTCTGTATCCCTCTTCCTGCTTCCCAACCTGCATCCTATATCCCAACCCACATCCCAATGCGTATCCCGCCCTGCATCTCCTTCTGTATCCCTCTTCCTGCTTCCCAACCTGCATCCTATATCCCAACCCACATCCCAATGCGTATCCCGCCCTGCATCTCCTTCTGTATCCCTCTTCCTGCTTCCCAACCTGCATCCTATATCCCAACCCACATCCCAATGCGTATCCCGCCCTGCATCTCCTTCTGTATCCCTCTTCCTGCTTCCCAACCTGCATCCTATATCCCAACCCACATCCCAATGCGTATCCCGCCCTGCATCTCCTTCTGTATCCCTCTTCCTGCTTCCCAACCTGCATCCTATATCCCAACCCACATCCCAATGCGTATCCCGCCCTGCATCTCCTTCTGTATCCCTCTTCCTGCTTCCCAACCTGCATCCTATATCCCAACCCACATCCCAATGCGTATCCCGCCCTGCATCTCCTTCTGTATCCCTCTTCCTGCTTCCCAACCTGCATCCTATATCCCAACCCACATCCCAATGCGTATCCCGCCCTGCATCTCCTTCTGTATCCCTCTTCCTGCTTCCCAACCTGCATCCTATATCCCAACCCACATCCCAATGCGTATCCCGCCCTGCATCTCCTTCTGTATCCCTCTTCCTGCTTCCCAACCTGCATCCTATATCCCAACCCACATCCCAATGCGTATCCCACCCTGCATCCTATATCCCAACCCACATCCCAATGCGTATCCCACCCTGCATCCCGCTTCCTGCATCCCAACCTGCATCCCAACCCACATCCCAATGCGTATCCCACCCTGCATCTCCTTCTGTATCCCACTTCCTGCATCCCAACCTGCATCCCATCCTTCATTCCATCCTGCATCCCACCCTGCATCCCGCTTCCTGCATCCCAACCTGCATCCTATATCCCAACCCACATCCCAATGCGCTTCCCACCCTGCATCCCCATCTGTATCCCAGTTCCTGCATCCCAACCCGCATCCTGCCCTGCATCCCATCCCAACCTGCAATCCCTTCTGCATCCCGCTTCCTGCATCCCAACGCACACCCCACCCTGAATCCTGCATCCCAATGTGCATCCCACCCCACGGCAGTGCCGGAGGAGACCCCGGGATGTCCTGCCCCGAGCAGAGATGGCGGAGCGGGAAGGGCGCGGAGCAGCAGAGAGCGGGAGCTGGATTCAACTCTCAACTTTGCTGTATAATGTAATTATTAATCAGGCTTGTCCTGAATTCCCTGTGTCATAGCGGAGGATTAGGAGTCATGCACGAATTCAGGCCAAGAAGGTTTACAATCCAGAGGATTTATCCGCTTCGCAAAAATAAATAAAACACCAGCCTCCTGACAGGCTCCTGCTGCCAAGAAGTCAGCTAAACAAGTGACAACCTTCTCATTTTGCATTTTTAATTAGGGACGTGCCTGTCACACGTCCCGGCCGGGGCTGAGCTCCCTCCAGCCTCCTGCACCCAGCGCCGGGTTAAAGCCACTTTGTGGGGAGGAGCAGCGTCCCCCCGCCAGCGCTCGCCTCCTCCAGCCTCCAACGCCTTCCCAGCGCATTAAAGCGTAATTGGATAATTAGTTCAAGTAAAACTTGGAAGTTTGGGGTTTGTTTTTTTCCCTAAAGCGAGTCTCAAGGCACAGAGGGGAAACAAAAGGACCAGTTTCCTCTCTCCGCGTGGCCCAAACCCGCAGAAATAGCGGCAAACCCTCCCCGGGGAGCGCGGGAGGGAGTCGGGGGGACAGGGGAGCTGGAAACCCACCTTCCCCCCCCGGCTCGGG